AGGGAGTGTAGTCGGCGAAGGAGAGGAGCAGAAAGAGCTCGGCTCTGCTGGGAGCCGAAAGGGTGACATTGAAAACCAACAGAGAGCAAGCTGAACAATTCCAACACAGTTGTGCTTCCATATCCCTCAGCAGGGAGAATTCTCTTTGGCCTGGAAAGGATAGAATAAAAACACAGTCAGCAGGAAAATGAAGCCCGAGGTGGGTGAAAAGACAGAAAAAGAAAAACTGGGCTTGAAATAAGCTCACAATTCTAGCCTCAGATGAATTCTGTCCCATGGGACTTACGGGACTTAATACAAGAAACTGCACATGTAATCACAAACCTGTGCTATCTGTGAGCATGAGCAGGTACCCCGACTTGGAAAAAGGGGACAAAAGATCTACTGGTCCTTCAGACCAATGCAGTCGAAGTTAATTTTACAAAAGGTCCTAGGACACATTACTAAACAGACGGTTGGTGAACAACAAGTCCCAATTTTTTAGTTTTAAGTAATAATACTGTAGATACAGATATGGCAAACTACCTAGACTTTGCATTTAGGAACAGAGCTTGGTATTGAAATGCAATGAAATTGATAACAGGGTTAATCTGACATACTTAATGTTATGCAAAATTTTTATCATCCTGCATGTTAATCAAGCATAAATGGAGCCCTTCATGCAAATGAAAACAATTACTGTTCTTTTAAAGCAGCATTTCTAAAGTCAGAGAAATGGGAATGGGAGACAGAAGCCAGGTAGCGGCTGCTCCACACCCCATACCACTCCCCACCCCCAGACAGACCGTAGGAAAGGGGGCTGCCCAGCCTTAAACCAAGCCAGTCCCAGATGCCAGCCAACAGCCAGCCCTCAGACCCACCAGCTGGAGCTGGGTCACCATGTCTACTGGATTCTCTGTGAAGGAAACCCAGGAAAACCTGATTTTAAGACGGCAGAGTTCATCCTCTGATGAAACAATCAGCAAGAGGAAAATCTTTACTGGGCACCTTTAGAACACCCAGAAACTATGGGATTGGGGTAGCTAGAGCAAGTGTTTGGGGCAGAGAGGACTCGAAGGGGAAGTGGTGGGATGAGTCAGCTGTCAAGTGTGGTTTGGTGTTTGTGAGCTCACACCCGGTGTTCAGGGAACGGGAATTAGAGTGGAACAGGATGAGCCTGCGTGGAGAAGTAAGGTTGGGGAAACAGGGAGGGAGGCCAGCAGAGAGAGGAGGAATGATGAGAGCTGAAAGAAGGATGCAAACAGACAAAGCTTCAAAGGAAACAAAATTCAGACTTTACACAGGAATGAGCCCTGGGTTTGAAATGATATGCTGTCTGGCATTTGCTTCAACATCCAGTGTTAATCTGGGAGCAAGGAGGACGGAGAGGGGGTACAGATGATCACAGTTGTTATATTGCCTGTATGATCATAAATGTTGAAGATGGGGGGAACACAAGCAGGGGGAGTGGGAGAGGGAGACGGATGCGGGGCTCGGTCCCTGGACCCTGGGATCATGACCTGAGCCAAAGGCAGACGCTTAACAACTGAGCCACCCAGGTGCCCCTATTTTCTATACTTTTATACATGCTTCCCCCCCCAACCCTTTCTTTTGAAGCTACTAAAGCTTTCCTATGTACTCAGAGTTAAAAAGGAACAAAATAAAACAAAATCCTTATGATGGCGTACACAATCGTACCTTCTCCTGTTACTTCTCTAACCTCCCTTCCTCCTACTTTCTCCCTCACTCTCTGCTATTCCTTGAGTTCACGAGGCACACTCCCCCCATCCTAGGGTTTTGCAAGGGCTGCTCTCTCTGCTCAGAATGACCCGCACCCAGGTAGCCACATAGCTTGCTCTCCTTCTCAAGGAGATGTACTCTGACTATCCTATTTAGAATGACAGCTCCCTCCCCTTTTCTCCTTTCTCTAGAACTCTGGTGGAGTTCACATTTATCACTCTACATTTATTTTTCCCATAGTGAAGTTTACAATCTTCAAACATACTATCTAATCTACTTACTTTATGTTTATTACCTGTCTTTGTCACTGGAATTTAAATCACCAGAGGGACAGGAATTTTTGTTCTGAGTTGGTGTGGGGGGGCGGGGGTTGTTCAATGACTAGGGCAAGGCTCGGCAGCCAATAAACGTAAGTGGGATGAATGCAGGAAGTTTTAGAACTGCATGGAAGGCTGAGACAAGGCAGGGGTAGGTGTCTGTGGTCTTGGTACCAGTTTTCTCCCACCCCAGTCTTTCACACTAAACAAGAAATCTAGGGCACCTGATTTCTGAGGAGGAGTGCAGAACTTATACATAGCTCGTCAGAATTACTGCCCTCCTCCCAAACTCTAGGCAGAGATTTCATAACTTGGTTTTGAGACATCTAAGGCTGTCCCCAGTTATGTCATGTGACATCCCAAAATTCTTAAACCAAACTCCTCGTGACAAAGGGAGGAATTCTGTCTAAGCCATATGATAATAGAAAACTCAGAATGAGGGGCTTTGTCGCTTTTAGGAAATGTTAGGCTTTAGGACAAGGCATATTTTTAGGAGGAAGTCATCACAAAACCAATGATCAAGTCTATGATTAGGAAGAATGTGGGCATCAAAACCCAATTTTAAAAGACTACTTTGTGCCACCACTTTTTGTTATGTGAGGCAATTTCCAATAGCTTTAGCCCTTCCTGCATTTATAGTTACATCCCCTTCCCCACGAAGTTACTCCTATACACAGCTTCATTTACCCACGCTACAAACTAGCTGTGGAACTTGGGCAAACTTCTTTGGGCCAGTTTTCTTATAACAAAACTATCGTGTGTGTGTGTGTGTGTTGGGCCAGTTTTCTTGTAACAAAACTATCGTGTGTGATGTGTGTGTGTGTGTGTGTGTGTGTGAGATACACATACCACTCAGAACTTTCAGAAGATAGACAAAATCTTGAGAAATCAAACAACAGAATGAAACCCCCCAAAAGGCCAGGAATCATTGCCTAAGTGATAGCGTAAGTATTTGCAAGTGTGGGAAGCAGACTATCCACACCCTCTGTAACAATGTTATTGATCAAAGAAAATACCGTTTGATCTATTCACAAGTGATTGTTCGGCAACATTTTGCAGGTTAAGTAAGATTGTTGTTCAGAGTCTGAATGATCTTCCTGGGCTGACCCAGGCCAGCATATACACCCAGGGCAAAATTTCCACAGACCAGACCTACATGCCTTCTGATGCTCCCAGGCCTGCGGTAAGAGTGCCATCTGGAGGATCTCCATTTTAGAGAGAAATCCTCGTGCAAAACTGACCGTGGAAAATCAGGAGGAAAATCCAACAATCTAGGATCCACATAGGGACAGATGTCACTATCAAGTAGATTCAAGTTGTTTGCAGTCTCGCATTTTTAACAAAAACTCTTTCTCCTAAAAGCGTGGGGAACCTTCTTGAATTTCATTCCTAGCGTCATCCGTATAGTTCTGGTTATTTGGAAAGAGGTTCTTTTTCTAGTTGGCCCACAGAGCCACTAAATGAGTCCTCTGAAAGTTCCCTTCCCCCCATAATCTGCATGCTCTCTAAAAGCAGGTCCCATTCCCATTCCAACTCGGGTTCCCAATCAGAACAGGTACCTTCAAGGTCCCTGTAAGAGCTTCCAGACAAACCCAACTCCCACGTGCTCAATCAGATGGCTCATCTCTGACCAAAACGAGCATCCACCTGATCATCAGCTATCCACTGCCCTGGCCAGAGAAGAAGACGCAGTGTGCCTGCTCCGAGCGCCATGGTGTTCAAACTGTTCGTTAGGGGAAACAGTCCTGAGAGACGGAGTCGACACAGCCTCAGAAGAACTGTAATGCAATTTTCTGTGCTACTGAGGGGAGGGAAAGAATGCGAAGTGTGCTTTTCAGTTACAAGGGATCCCACCCCCAAATTGCTGTACCTGTCAAGCAACAGGAATAGCTTCTATGAACAAAAGAAATCTGCTATTCGGTGTAATAGTCCTGTGATGCATTTATTTCAGTTCTGTCCTTAGTTCCCCATTCCCTCAATTGCTGAGAGAAGAATGCTACCTGAAATTGTGCGAATTTTCAAAAACAGATTATTTTCTTCACCCGCGAAAATGGCTCCTTCCTCTCTCAAGGGAGACAACTCCTTTGTTCTCAAAAAACTAAAGTTGGTTCAGGCAGTTCTTTTTTCTGTGAGTTCTCATTGTAGGACATGCTCAGTATAGACAAAGGGCTTTTCATTAACCACAGCTGAGTTCTGTTATTAAAAACAAAAACGGCCTTCTTTGTTATTCTACGACCCCTATCGTAGGTAAAAGAAACACTAAACAACCGGAATAAGTAGGTAGGGGCTGGACCAGAATTGAGGGGGAAGGCAGAACACTTGGAAGACAGGAGGAAAAATCATTGTTCTTGGGTGCCAGAAATCAAGGGGGTAAGCCTAAGGAAGCATGCCCACTGTACTGAAAACTTCTTCCAGGCCGGGTCTGCCTGGAGCATCTAAAAATCACACCCTTTACTCCCTTTTCGTGAGAGGAAACCTTATTTCAGTATGAAGAGTCCTACAGAGGTCCAGGATAACCTACACATAATGCATACCTCCAATGGCTGAAAAGAGTTAAAACCAGATTAAGTTGAGCTGAAGAATTACCTATGTCCAGCAAATAAAGGACTAGGCTACAGAGCCCAGAGTTAGCATCTCGGGGCATATATATGTGCTGAAGGAACGTGATCAATTTAAAACCTTTGCCATTTGATAAGGTACAGAAACAGTGGAGTTTAAGAGGGTGAAAAAAAAAAATTCCAACCAAGAAAACAGAATTTAGTTGAAATAGCAAAATGTGACAAAAATGTAAACTGAAAGGAAGTTGTAGGAGTCCCAGAAATTACCAGAGGGTTATGAAGAAAGACGGTGACAAGTGAGTCCTCTGTGAGGGTCATAAATGTCAGTGAAGAGAATGGCACAGAAGACCAGAAAACTCATTGGTCTCTTTTGTCAAAGCTCCCATGTTATTAAAGACAATCACCCTGAACTCTGAAAAGCATTATTTATTGGAAAGAAATATTAAAAGGAAGTCTTCTTAATTCTGGCAAGGACAAATACTGCTCCCCTACCCCCCAAAATATATCTCCCATTTGCTCACAAATTCTTCACCCTGACTCTTGGAATCCCCTGGATTCCTTGATCCAAGGCCATGGCCTACATCTACAATGGATACAGTTCCCAGAAGGCCCAGAAGCGACATGAAATAATGCTACCCTACAGTTTCTTATCAAGGGAGGATGGCTAGAAAGTCAACAAATTGAGGTGCTTCACTTGACAGCTTATCTTAACATCCAGTTCCTCAACAAAGCCTCATACAAGCCAGAAGATAAGGTGTTCTTAGGTGAAGTCAGACTTCCGTGATATCCCAGAGTTCACCGAAACCAACGGATGATTCCAATTAGTCTTTAAAAAGCAGTAATTATGCCAAGAGAGAAATCCACACAGTCAAGACATGGCTTTCTTAGGAAGACACAGCTATTTAATCTTAGCAAGGGCAGCTGCTCTTCTTTCTGTGTTCTGGAACAAGGCACGAATTAAAGCTTTTACTTCACTGGAAGAGAATGCAGCTGCCAAGGGCCCTTTTCCATCTGCCCACCTGCAAAATAAAAGATAAAATTCAATTTCCTCTTATGTCTCTGTATAAGCAAGATTTTAAAACTGCTTCTTTGTTCCCAAATGCTTGTTTGTCTTAAATGGAAGTAAAACAAATCCTGGCATCCTTCCCCTCTCGATGGCTCTACCACCCAATCTCTTTAATTTCTGCTTCTCCAAGACATTTTGGTAACAGCACAGTCAGATGAAGAGACCAGGTTAGGAGATAAAACTGTTCCCCCTCATTCTATACTAAGTCCTGTTTGAACTTGAGAATTATGGCCACATCCTCATGTGGTTATATGGAGTCTTGGGATCAGTAACTATTTTTATTTTTTTATTTTATTTATTTTTTTTTTAGATTTTACTTATTTATTCATGAGAGACAGGGAGAGAGAGAGAGAGAGAGAGGCAGAAGCAGGCTCCCTGCTGAGCAGGGAGCCCGATGCGGGACTCGATCCCAGGACCCTGGGATCATGACCTGAGCCGAAAGCAGACACTTAACCATCTGAGCCACCCAGGCGCCCAGTAACTATTTTTAAAAATGAGCCACAGGCAACAAACTTTAACCAACAAAGGACTGGTATAAAAAATACACAGCAAACTCCCATTAATCAATAATGAAATCACAAACAACCCTGTAGAATAAAGGGCAAAAACCATGAACAGGAATTTTACAATAGAAGGAAAATAAGTGATCAATAAAAAGATTCTCAACATCATTAGAATTTAGGGAAATAGAAATTACAGTGACAATGAACTACCATTTCACAGGAACTAGCAAAAATTTCAGAGTCTCAGAATACCAAATACCGGTGAAACTGTAAAGCAACAGGATAAACCAATGAAATATCTGTACAAGAGAATATGATACAGCAGTGAAAACAAACTATAGCTCTGCATACCATCATGAGTGAATTTCAAAAACAGAATATTAAACACAAGAAGCAAGTTATAGAAGACTCCATCTATAGAAAGTTCAAACATAAGCAAGTCTAAACTATATTGTTCAGGGATACATGCAAATGTGGCAAAACTATAAAGGAAAGGAAAGGAAATAATTAACACAAAATTCAAGATAGTGGCTGCCTGTGATGAGAAATGTCTGGAGAGGGGCACATAGGAGTCTTCACGGTACTGGTAATATTTTTCTTAAATCAGGTAATGGGTACACAAATATTTTACTTGTTTTCTTTAAATTGTAAATATGTAGGGACGCCTGGGTGGCTCAGTCGGTTAAGCGTCTGCCTTCAGCTCAGGTCATGATCCCAGGGTCCTGGGATCGAGTCCCGCATCGGGCTCCCTGCTCCGCGGGGAGCCTGCTTCTCCCTCTGCCTCTGTCTCTCATGAATAAATAAATAAAATCTTATAAATAAAAATAAATTGTAAATATGTAAATATGTTGTGTGTGTGTGTATATATATGTATACACATACACATATATATACTGTATTCCTTCATATGTATATTTTATAATGTTAAAACATTTAAACTACATGACTAGAGGTAGTTTCTTCAGTAAGAAGTTTCCCAATTAGTTACTATCCTTAGGTTTACTGGAATCTCTAGGAGAAAAATTCTTCCTAGGCAAAAAACAAGAAGCTAAGATACACCAGTACTGTGATTATTCTCACAACAAAGAATTAATGATTATTAGGCTGCAGCAGGGTCCTTTAACAGCAGAAAGAAAATTTCTTTGCTGCTCTCTGGAGTCTTACCTAAAGACATCTTATTACTTACTAAGGACTTATAAATAACAAATAAATAAATCAAATTTTGTTCTAATATAGTTGGAAGTATTTTGATGTGATTTTTCTCAAGCAGAAATCTCATTTTCATTGTTTTAGGATGGACAATACATGCTGAGAACAGCTCAGACACATCTGGGATGACTGGTCTAATACACTGGAGCACCTGTAATAAACTAATAAACCAAGCTAAAACAGGCAGACAAGTAGCTGTAAGGATGGAGATGGACCTTAAGGCCTACTCAGGGAGTTCCCTATGCAAAGTATGCATACTCATCAATGATTTACCAAGACAATAATCAAAGCATCCATGAATGTGTAACTAACCCATATCTATTCTCTTTTGTGCAACATCAATGACCTCTGCACACCAAGTGTGATACAATAAAGCATATATTTACTGCGCACAGCAAAGTCAACTGATGGTCTCTGGTGTCGGGAAAAAACATCATCCACTTTACTTAAGAAAAGATGAATCCTCTCTATGTGTATGATGCTTAATCTCTAAAGCCACTGTACTCCCTGCAGAAGAATTGCTGGTCGATCAAACAGTGGTTTGATGCTGAATATTCCATACAAATAAAAGTCACTTCTCTGTTAACAAATCAAAGTCAACCTTAAAATGTATCCACTGTTGGTTAAAATGGGCAACAACTTCCATCCAGATGTCAGAAGGTTGTCCTTCCTACAACTGTAAGATCACTGGTACAGCCTGCCAGAACGACATGTTCAAGACCAAAATAATATGAAACAAGAAGTCTTTATGTTATCAAATAGGAGAAAGTGGTAATGAGATCTACACTATTACAGACCATGCAAAGACCCCAACTACTGCAACTCAATATGAAACTCTTTCCTGAGCAAAATTAAGAAAATGAGAAAAGCATTACTATCAATGGCACGAATACTTTCCATCTTTGGAGATACAGAGAGAGAGAGAGAGAGAGGAAGAGATAACCCTCTATAAAAGGGTTATACCCACCGATCTCCAATTTCTTGCAGGCTGGCTTGTAACATCATCATCAATTCCTTGAATGGCATCCACTTTTGCACATAGACTGGAACCTCTTCTTGGTATTTCTTGTTCTTGCTTTCTTCAGACAAAGGTGCAAATACTTGGGGTCCTTCGTCCATCACTGTTTTGCATAAGGAATACAATCTATCACCATCTTCAGTAGAGATGTCCTGGTTTTGCAGAGAGGGAACACAAAAGAACAGAATTGGGCCAGCTTAGCAGTCAGGAAAGGGGAGATCTTTGGTGCACGCTGTCCAAGGGGTCAGCTACAGCAACATGTTTTCCAACCAACTTAGCACACCTTAACAGACATGAGATATCATCAGCTCTCTGACAACACTCCTCAAGCTAGAATGACACAAAATATGTTTCAACAGATTGTCAATAATTTAGTTTGCCTGCATGAAAGAGCCCATTTCTCCAGCAGAATGTTGCACCCCTTGCTGCAAAGCAGGGGATATTTTTATAAACAAGGATTTAGCCAATCTATGCTTTAGAGACATCAGCTGGCAGAGTCCAGGCAACCTGCATCTAGGCTCACATATACAATCCCAACTGCAACAGGGTGCATTTCACTTCACCAAATTATTTAGGTCACTTGCAAATTAAATAAATATATGACTTCATACTTTACAACACATCTAAGGACTACCCAGTTTCCAGCCTTCTCATTCATAATTCCCACGGATGCTAAAGGGAGAAGCAGTATAATCCTACTTTCTTATATAAGTATAAAAGACAGAAATTAGCAAGTCTCCAGCAAAACAGAATTAAGACGGAACTGAAAAAAATAACAGTATAATGAGTTAGACGTAAAACACGAGCAATTTCTTCTACCATCTGTGTTGACTAGAAATGAGATTTCAACATCATTTTCTTAGTAAAGTGACAATTTGAGACAAGAACCGCCATCTCAAGTCTGGTGAGGCATCTAATGGCCCTTACCTCTAGAGCAGTGATTCTGCCAATGATCTCAGAAATTGCTGTATTGAGTAAAGTCCCCATGGCCTTGCAATATATGTTCACTGGCAGGACATCCTGCCAGACAATTCCAAGTCTCTTCAGCTGGTGTAGTACCTGTCAGGAGAATACAGCTGCTGACATGAAGTTGACTATTGCCAACTCCTATTCTGCACATTCACATTTATCACATGGTTATGGGGAAAGAGGCATTATAGGAAGGTGAGGTAAAGTTATCCAAAGTATGAGCTTCTTGAATATGTCACCCTAGTGATATCCCTACTAGATGAAAAGTAGACTTATCTGAGGATGGGAAAACCACTGCAAGAAGATAAACCACACACACTGAGAAATGTATAGAATTGTGGATTTAGTATATTGTACACCTGAAACCAATACAAAGCTGCAATGTCAGTTTTCACTTCAATAAAAAATAAATAAATAAAAACCATGTGCTCATTTAAAAAAAAAAAAAAGAAGATGACAAATCGTGTAGGAGAGAGAGGGGCACTGAGGTAAAAGCTAATATTTCAGATTTCCCAAACTGACAAACTTACTAATAACTAGTCATGTTATTGGGTGGATAGAAAGATAGCTTCCTGTTGGCTTGGTGGGATAGGAAAGGGAAAGGTCATAAGCGTGACTGTAAAAGGTACCCATATTTTCTGACGGGGGTTGTAGAGAATCAACTGAACTACCTGCTACATATTCTTTGCTGCTTAAAACACAAGGGGGAATTATCTGGAGAAAGAGTACAAATTCCAGAGTTAACAGCAGCTGCCCACCTGCCGGACCGCTTTACTTGCTGCAGAGTAATTCTCTTCATCATCCATGTTGGAAAAGTTTCTAGCACTTGATAATCTTTCCAGAAGTTCTGCTTTCTGTGCCCTCATTTGGGCCAAAAAACACTCTGTCCCTAAGGTGGGGAAATAGAATAAAGAATTCTAAAAGTTGTTCAAGTGCACACTACAACTCCAGGGTGGAGGAAGAGAGACAAGCATGAATCATACATTATTCTGCTTATTTGAAAACAACTGCTTGCCAGATGACATCATAAAGTGCTCTAAGGTTACTAGAAATAATCACTTCTAAAATACATTAGCCAGTCCCTCCAAACCCACTCTCAGGATAATAAGTCTTTCCCAATAGTCTGTCCAGGGTCAGATAAGAAACATTACTTATTCAGAAGCAGCAGCTACTTATTTTTCTGATATATCTACACCACCTAAGGGAAAAGTCAGGAAGTAAAAAGCTAAGTGAATCATACAGGTTCTCTGCTTTTCTTAGAATATCATTATAGTAAACATATTGATTTATCCCACATTTCATTTCTTTTGATTTTTAATAATCCCAAGTAAAGCTAGGTAGAAGAGCGGAGAGCTATCTTGAGGTTTTGCAAAAGAACAAGCAGTGACATTAGTAAGCTCTTACTGACAAAGCTAACAGAATTATCACAATACAAATCTCATTATGTGTCATTCTACTGACAGGACTCTGATTTGGTGAATTCACTGCACACCAGCAATGCAGCTTGAATCTCTAATGTACCATGAAATCATGTCTTGAAAAAGTAGTACTTCCACAAAGACTGCATTCACTTTATAAAATTAAATAACCGGGAACAGCTGCAAACTAAATGCTATCCCACTTTCCAATATAGCTCAGGACCACTACCTAATTTCTCACTGCCTCATTCATAAATTACAAAGACACGACGCTGAGAAGCTGCGTAATCAGTATGTCCTAAATTGAAGGTATCCGTTACCAAGTCTCCTGAAGCCAGGTACAAGATCCACAAAGGTCGTGGTGCCATCACAAAGAATGGGGGCAAGACGCAATCTGAACTGATGCCCGAGTGTCAGCAGGTGGTGAGCAATATACATACAGTTGTTGTGGTGAATGGCAGCCAACTGGGGCAGTTTCTGAAGGTTCTCCCTAGGCCAGGAGGAGGGGTGGAAAAAGAAAGAAACCAAAAGTTACTGAAGCTGAGGTGGATGAAAAGTTACTTCTTTTTTAATGTACTTCTAGGCTTTAAGAACTGTCTCTCCTGTACAAATACATAACAAGGTCCGGTCTCATCACTCCCACCCCAGTCAAGCAGAGTGAGACCATTCTGCCTGAGTGCAACCTGATCCTATAATCCTATCCCAGTGATTAACAGAAGAGAAAGAGCACGGGAACCCAGATGTTGACCTGTGTCGACTCTCTGTACATAAACCCAGCAGAGCTGTATACATTCCCTCCAAACTTAACACTGACCAGTCTGTGCAAGTAGGGACTTGCTTGCCCTTCTGCCAAATTCCTTTCTCACTTAGACAGTGAAGCACTAAACTCTTCTAATTCACTAGTTTTCAAATTGGCTACAGATCAGAGTCACCTGGGAAATTTTAAAACAGATGTTTAGACTTGAATAAATAACCAATATTCTTTCAACATGTTTTTTTCTTAAATGGTTTATTGCATTTCATTGTGAATTTCAGTAACCAAGATATTTTTGGTGGGAATATAAAATTACTGGTTTTAATCCAACTTACACTTTAGATATAGAGTACCATACAGAAATCAGAAACAGTGGCACTTACTTGTGATATGTTGGCACGACATCATGGAACAAATGGAAGATATTCCTCACTGAGTAGAAAAGTTGAATAGCACTGAAGAAAAAAAAGTTTCAACAGAAATGCATAAGGATATTAGCAATGAGATAAAAGGTCAAACTAAGTGCACATTAGTCATCACCAAAACTACAGTTCGAGAGAACACCTGGCTTTGGTCACCGCTGAAAACACCCTTAATCTAGATGGAAATATATTCTCAACTAGTATTTACTAACTAGATTGCAGTTCTAAAAACCTGGATCCATTAATAATTTTAAGAACAGCAGCATTAACCCAAAGCCTCTTTCCCATTATCAATTTGTGTTCTGCCAGTACCCAGAGTATCCCTTCAGTAACAAATGGAGCTAAGCCTCAAGCAAATGTCACCTACTCACTGACGCACTCTGCAAAGGGCAAGGTATCAATAAAGGCATTCACTTGGTTCTTTTAGAATCAGTCTGACTTTCAGCTTTCACCTTTTCTCCTCCTTACCCCAATGCAAGGAGATGAATCAACATTTCTAGGATAGAATCTAACCTCAAAATTTTCTGCCCTTTAAATCTGGCCTTAGAACACCTGAAGATTATTATTAAAATGCACTCAGAGCAAATATAAGGTCTGTACAGCTTACTTCCACATAAGACTATCTTAAACTAGGGGCGCCCGGGTGGCTCAGTCGTTAAGCGTCTGCCGTTGGCTCGGGTCATGATCCCAGGGTCCTGGGATCGAGCCCCACGTTGGGCTCCCGGCTCAGCAGGAAGCCTGCTTCCTCTCCCACTCCCCCTGCTTGTGTTCCCTGTCTATGTCTGTCTCTCTGTCAGATAAATAAAATCTTTAAAAATAAAAAAAAAATTTTTAGAAAAGACTATCTTAAACTATGTACCTTGAATAAGTAACAGGAATTCCACAAATATTTAGAAAAACAAGTCATGGTTACTATATCCCTAAACACTGTTACTACTTGATTACGATGATACCTGATGAAATTATTTCATTTTACTTTTGTTGCACGTGTTGCTATTCAAGGTTTGGTAAAGGGGAAGTGAGTCATAATGTAGTTGTGTTTTTGTCCTGTTTAAAACTATTTCTTTTGGAGGAAAGAATGCATATAGATATGCAGTACACAAAACTACTGTTTAGTGTTCTGTGTTATCAAAAAATTGCGGAAATACTGCCTTGCATCTCTAACTTTTGGGCTAGTATGTTTCAGGTGAAATAATGGTTACTCTAAATTTATTTTACCAAAGGAATATATACTTTTTTTTTTTAAGGAATATATATATTTTTTACATGTTTTTTTCTTCCTACTTATATTTAAAACTGGATGGGGGGCTTGTGAACACAACAATTCATTGACGTCATGGAAATATCTTGGTAAACATGTTTTCTTTCTTTCTAGAGCAGAATAAAATAAAGGGGTTTGTTTGCATGTGGAAATAAAAATGAAAACTCTGGAAGCCCACCTGAGAGGCAATGTAGTTGAGTCAGGCCCTAACTGGGACTGTTCTCTCCTGTGCGGACAAGGAGTAAAGAACTACTAGCCACAGATTCAAACTGAAGAGGCTTTTGTCACTCTGCTCTACAGCGTGGGCTCCCGCCTGCCATCTCCTCCTCAATTTTGTCTAGGAGTAGGAGAGGGGCTCATGAAGCAAAGAGAGGTTCAGAACGAAATGTGGACTAGAGTTGGAGGTACCCTGAATACAGTATCGATTAAGAGAAATCATCTTGAAAGGATAAAATCAGATCTTCAGGACATTCCATGCTTTTCCTTCTACCTTTGGCCTTCCAACCATTATTGCATTAAAAACAAAAATGTAAATTAATTATAATTAATGTAAAATAATTATAATCAAAATGTAAAATGAATGCTAAGCTAAAAGGCCAGGGCAGGCTGGAGCAGATCGTATTATGACCACTATTACCATGGCCACCAGTAATAATAAAATAAACATTTGAGTACTGATAATTTTCCAGGTAGTATTCTAAGTTCTTTACATGTGCTTTTTCATGTAACATCATTCAACTCATATAAAAGTAGAAATTAAACAAAAATTAAAAGAGCTTTTTATGAAAGAGTGATTAACAACTTTAATGTCAAAGAAACTCCATTTGTTCACCCATACACATGCTTCCATTTCTAATGTATGCTGTGAGAAGTACATGTTATTGCAAATAAAAGTGAACTGTCAATATATACTTGTGTGCTGCACTGTTTTTCTAAGGAAAAAAAATATTAACTAGTGGGATAAGAAAACCCAAAGAATTCCAGCTAATTTTCACAATAAATGTCTAGTTTAGATGTACATGTAACCATGTCACTGCCATTTTCAGAACTCTTACCACTGATCACTGCTGGTTGTTGCCTCTAGTAAAGTCTGATAGGCAAGTTCCATTAACTGCTTCACAGATTCACTGATGCGGCACGTGGGCAAAGAGAAGGAATGTTGGTCCAATGTATTTTCAGGCTCTAAATTCACCACCTCGTTGTATTGAGTTGTGGACATTTTCTGTACTTCTAGCTTCTCATCCTTCTCAGGACAGGGTAAGTCTGGCACACTTATCTTAGAATCAGGAGTAATCTAAGATTCAAACATAAAACACAGAAAATGTATTGTCCTCAGAATAGTTCAAGCGCAAGCATACAGACAGGAGTAAGATGCTGGTGGACTTGCACGACGACCAAGTTGTGGCTCTACAGAGTAATCAAAAGATTTGAGTAAATACGGAAATTATTTTAATGACTGCTTGATTTTGAGTGACAGCATGTCCTAAGAAATAAAAAATTGCCTTTACTTGTGCCATTCTTCCATTTCTTCTGTGTACTCATCATATTGGTGGAAAGAGCAAAGCTGTGAAACTGGCCCAAGATTTCAGGTAAATGAAAGGACCTTCAAAAATCATCTTTCTGGGGTGCCTGGGTGGCTCAGTCATTAAGCGTCTGGCTTCGGCTTAGGTCATGATCCCAGGGTCCTGGGATCGAGCCCCACATCAGGCTCCCTGCTCCTCGGGAAGCCTACTTCTCCTTCTCCCACTCCCCGTGCTCGTGTTCCCTCTCTCGCGATGTCTCTGTCAAAGAAACAAAATCTTAAAAAAAAAAAAATCATCTTTCTCAGACTAGACTACTAAAATACTGCAGACCAGTATAATTTTGTGTTCTGTTGTCATTAAACAAATTATTCCCCACCAGCAACATGTATTGGCTTAGTCTAAGAAATAACCCATTCAGGCTAGCATACCTCCACTAAACAAAAAAAACTTCAAAACCAAAAAAGCTTCCCTAACATTTATACGGAATGAAAATTCCGGGGCATGTGGGTGGCTCAGTCGTTAAGCATCTGCCTTTGGCTCAGGTCATGATCCCAGGGTACTGGGATCGAGGCCCGCATTGGGCTCCCTGCTCAGCGGGGAGCCTGCTTCTCCCTCTCCCTCTGCCTGACGCTCCCCTGTTTGTGTACACCTGTGCGTGCTCTCTGTCAAATAAATAAATAAATAAATAAATAAATAAATAAAATCTTAAAAAAAAGAAAATTCCTAGACTTATCAAAACCTACTGAAAGAACACTAGGCTGCTAGTCTGGAAACATCAGTATTATTTTTTACCTTGACTTTTAACAAAGTCATTTAACCTCTCTGGACCTCAATTTTCTTGTTGTAAAATGAAGAAATTGCACTACAATAACGGTCTTCAAACTTTGTTTTCTGAAGATGCCAGAGGGGCCAAAAAATAAAAGAGATTAAGCAGGTGGGAGCAGCAGGTTCCACCGCAAGAGCAGCAGTCCTGCTCTGCACATGCTCGACTTCCCCACAGAGTTTCTAACAGAAAAAGCTCCAAGTCTAATAAAAATGTTTACGTCATCAAATTTGCCTTCCTGATCTACAAAATGGTATAAAAGTATCTATTTCAAAGGGCTATTAAGAAGTTTAAATGAGAATACAAATGTCTGGGAGCCAGCAGTCAAATTTATGGCAAAGATAGAGAGTAGAAGAAAAAATATAATTATAGAGATGATTAAAAGATGCTAATGTTTGTCTGAAAAAACAGTGGACTCAAAATACACATGACCCAATGAAGTGATTTCTTGAGGAAGGTGAGGGAATCCATAATGGAAGAATATAAGATCTAGTCTGGTATCTGTGAGATTAAAATGTCCAAACAAGGGGCACCTGGGTGGCTCAGTCGGTTAAGCATCTGCCTTCGGCTCAGGTCATGATCCCAGGGTCCTGGAATCGAGTCCCGCATTGGGCTCCCTGCTCAGCGGGAAGCCTGCTTCTCCCTCTCCCACTCCCCCTGCTTGTGTTCCCTCTCTCACTGTGTCTCACTTAAATAAATAAAATCTTAAAAAAAAAATGCTCACAACTCATTAAAAAAAAACAACCCAAAATACCTCAAAATGTATTAAAATCTGTGCACTTCAAAGGACTAATGAACTATTTTGCTGGGTGGACACAGTAACAGAGTACCCCCAAGGAAAAGGGAGGATCACAAGAGAAAGGATAGAGGGAAGAAGAGCCTAGTTCCTATCACTGTGACAGGAGAAAAATGGCTGAGGAATTTTCTATTAAGGGACTACGTTAGTCTATGTTTTACTTTAATCTAAGTAATACCTTACATTTACCAAATATTTTATGTACATAAAATCTGAGAAAAAAAAAAACAGAAAAGAAAATACACAGACTTATCTAAGGTCAAAGAAGTAAATTACCCTTTGCACAAATTACAGAGCCCCCTGACTTTGTAGATAATTGTTGATACCCTACAAAGACTCTATCTTTTTTGTTTTACTACTTTGACTGTAAAACTAGTGCCTCTGTTAGCTTAAGAGATGAAGTCAACATTTTCACAACAGGGTATAATCTCTGGACATAATGAAGCCCAATTTTATCTGTCACAAAATTGTGTCCTAAAAACTCAAGTACTGAAGTTGAGAAAAATCTACATAGGTTGATATACGTTCTAATTTCAACAACAGAAATCTATTATATTTACATGGGTTTTTCAATGTACACAACGCTTTCATGTGCACTAACTATCTCATCGGGGCCTCATGGTATCCTAGGAAAGACACAGGTATCAGGACCACCTGAGAGATGAGAGAACTTACTGTTGGAAGATGAGAACTTCTCCCAGTGAGCTCAGCAACTGTCATGCTCTAGAGCTCCCACTCTACCAAATTTGTCTCAAAAATGCACACCACTTCCCAAAGACAAGGTAATACACATTAAGATAACCCCCAGTACCTTCACAGTGTTGTGAATTTCAGAGGTCATCAGGTTTCTAGCTGCCACAATCACATCCTGACATTTCTTGTTAGCAAAATGAGAATTGATGTTACGGGCATATTTCAGCAAATCGGTAGTATCTCCTTTTAAAAACCTCATCTCCTTGAGGGCATTTTCAAATTCTTCAGTGGACTGTATGATCTGAGGAAGAAAGACAAAGGGGAAAAAAAAGAATTATATACACATAGTCCATTCCAGTGTTAAAATTTCAAATCCAAAGTAACAAGGACAAGCTGGTCATTTAAGTTTTACAACAGACCAGCAGTTAGCAGGTATACACATATTAGACATTCCTCCAGCCCTAAGTTCACTAGGAATAGCACCTTCAATATAAACTTCGGATTCTACTGAGTAGAAGCGCGAAGATCTCTAAAGTAAATACACTTATTTCAGCGTTCAAGGAAATGCTAAAAAGAAGCAAAGGTATCTCACTAACTAAAATATACTTAAAAAGAAAAACATTCTTCCCAATCAAAAGGGAGAAAGCAAGGACAGAAATAAGTAATAGGGAATTTGCTTCCACTCCCTATTAATAATTTCCTTAAAGATGTCGCTGAAGAGCAAAAGGTCTCCCAGGAAAAACCAGACACCAATACTCACCTACAGTCTCTTATAACCTTCTGTGGTATCTCTGCACTCACCTCTTCATACTGCTGTAACTTGCTGCTATTAGTTGGGATAGAATAAACCAAACAGTTTTTAATGAGGCACTCAGACAAGTCCTCCCAGATCATGTCACCAAGCATCTCAGCCAATATAATCTTAGATGTTTTTTCATTTTCTAGGTCAGTATCAAGAGGTAAATCTGAATCAAAAGAAAAAGCTTTAAACAAGACACCATTCGCAGTTCAGATTATGCTCAAGTTCCCTAGTTTTCTAGAATTCTTTAATTTTAGGATGGGGAAGAAAACAGCACAGATAATTTTACAGCTATCTCAAGTGCCTGCGTGGGACAAAGCATGACATACAATTATTACTTTATTTTCATTGCTCAACTGAAGAGTCTGCACTGTATTACTCCCTGTACTCTACAATAATAAAGTATTAAGCCATCTACACTCTACAGTAATCATCTACTGCTAATCTACTGATCTGATTATATGACAAGCACTCAGAAGTTCTGCATACCAAGTTGAAACTCATTTAGAATAAAACCCCAGTTCTTTAATAATGAATAAACATCCTCTGTCATCTCTGCCTAGGATCTGCATGTTTATCCTAAGTAAAATATCAAAAACACCTTACATTACAGCGTAATACCTAACCTAGCAAACGGAATACTTCAGAAGCCTCTCTACAGTGTATCATATGATGGGTTTTTTCCCAACACACTTTAACAGAGTTATTTAAAATATAATATTAACGACATAAATAATAGTTAAGAATCAGTGACCAACGAAGAGGGAAAAGGAACCATAAAAGAGACAAGCTATTTTTTTTTTTAAGATTTTATTTATTTGAGAGAGACAGAGATAGCGAGAGAGAGCAGGAGCGGGGAGGAGAGGAAGAAGCAGACTCCCGCTGAGCAGGGAGCCCCACGTACAGCTTGAACTCAGGACCCCAGGATCATGACCAGAGCCCAAGGTAGACGCTTCACCAACTAAGCCACCCAGGCACCCCAAGGGACAAGCTATTTTTAACCTCGTTCCAATCCACCAAGGAAGGCCTTAGGGGATAAGAACCTTAAAAAAAAGTGAAGCATATTATCTGAGAGCCTTGAGAAACTTAAAATGTCTAAAATCTATACCTGCACAGCCACCGGCCACATTTTGCTGCTGAGCACTTGAAATGTGGTTAGTGTGACTGAGGAATTGAATTTTTTAAATTTTTAATCGGTTTCAATTTCATTTTATTTTTTTTTTAAAGATTTTATTTATTCATAAGAGAGAGAGAGGCAGAGGGAGAAGCAGGCTCTCCGCTGAGCAGGGAGCCCGATGTGGGATTCGATCCCAGGACCCTGGGATCATGACCCCAGCCGAAGGCAGACACTTAACCATCTGAGCCACCCAGGCGCCCTCAATTTCATTTTAAAAATGGAAGCAGGGGGGCACCTGGGTGGCTCAGTCGGTTAAGCATCTGACTCTTGATTTCCGCTCAGGTCGTGATCTTGGGTTGTGAGATGGAGCCCTGCATCTCTCTCCCTCTCCTGCCCCTTACCCCACTTGCATGCTCTCTCTCTAAACAAACAAACCAATAAAAAATAAACAAACAAAATCTTTAAAAAAATGGAAGCAATGGTGTGTGATTATAAAAAGAGAGCACAAAGCAGCTTGTGGTGTTAGAATAGTCCATATCTTGATTAAAGTGGTGGCCACATGGATCTACGTGTGATAAAACTACACAAAACTACACACACACACACACACACACACACACACACAAATGAGTGCAGGTGAAACCGGAATAAGCTCTGTGAATTGGACCATCGTCAGCTTGCTGGGTGTGACATCGTACTATGGGTACACAGGATGTTAACACTGAAGAAAATGGCTGAAGGGTACATGGGACCGCGGTACATTTTTTGAATAAAAATCTTAAAGTAAAAGAAACAAAAGGAAGTAGTGTAGTTTTCTGTTAAGCACAACTTCGTTGTTTCGATAAGACTGCAATGTCACTTGAACCACTGTACCGCATAAGCAATTATGTTGTCTGTACTGCTCATGGCAGGCACATGAATCATTTCCAGCACCGCACACGAACACATAACCAATCCCATCAGTGTAAACAGATTCATTCCATTCGAATTATTTTTTTTCTATGCACCAATGTAACACTGTAATGCGTTTATGTGAATATTTATGCATACAGCACAAGCTACAATGGTACCTATATAAACTGTAAAAGGCAATTAAATAGAAATACTTATCTTAATCATGATGTAATTATTTTTCTAAGTTTAAGAAAAATAACTATGGACAAGGTATGCTACCGATGCAGAATTAAGTGAAGATGCAAAAGCGAGTAGAATCATGGGAACAGTAAAGGAAAAAAAGAGAGACCGGAAGAAAATGTCACAAATTTCACAATAAATGGCAGCTGCAATTTACTAACACAGAGCAAAACAAAAAAACCTGCCTTTCTTTTAAAGATAATAAAGTAAACAATACTAAGAGACATTTCAGCTAGTATCATAAACATTTCACCATACTATTAAAAGTACTCTATTCTTATTTTAGTTTTTTATTAAGAAAGGGTACTGAGGGCGCCTGGGTGGCTCAGTCGTTAAGCGTCTGCCTTCGGCTCAGGTCATGATCCCGGG